TAATTTGTTTTTCAAATATAAATTGAATTTTGTATTTTATATTTGTATTGTTTGTATTTTTCACTAACGCATTACTTAATGATTAAATTCTGAAAAGTATTAGCTAAAATTATTAAATACATAAGTGCGAGAGAAAATTATATAACATGAACTACTTTTAGTAGAATATGTTTTCATGTTTTTTTCTTCGGGAGTTATCATAAACATGTTTATTTGAATAAACATGTTCATTTGTGGCGAGATGACCCGCCAGTTGGGGCGCCGTAACTTGTGATAGCCGCAGTTACCGTGTTCTAATGCAAACAAATCATTCACTAGCGAAATGAAGTGTTGTCGAGCGTGTACGCTCATGTGTACGTTTTGCGTTTTTTTGAAGTTGCAGATACTAATTTCAAACTTGTAGTACGCCAAGAAAACATTAAAAATTAATATGTTTGGATTCTGAGATATTTTGTATTTTTAGCATTTCGTTTGTAGGGTATTTTGTATGTTGAATATTTTGTATATTGTGTATTTTGTATGCTGTGCGTATTGTATGCTGGGCATTTTCCTACGTTGAATTTGCATGGGTTAAGCTTCGCGTAATTTGTTTACGTATAAGCAAATGTCATTACTCGTTTCATCTCGTGCAACTTCTTGTTTGTGTTGCTACTGCTGCTGCTACTACTGCTGCTGCCGCTGATGATGATGACGATGTTGGTGATGATGATGATGATGATGATTGTGACGATGACGATGTTTACTGTGAAGATGAAGATGGATTACTGTTATTTATTGATGACGATTTTATAATTTTTGTTTTGTTGATTTAGTTATTGTTGTTAATAACAATCGATCATAAACACACAAACACACAAACACACACACACACACACATATGTTTGTATATGTATAGATATCTGTGTGTGTTGCTTTATACATTGGCATTGACACATACATATGTTTCAAATGTCCTATCCTTCAAGCCAGCTTCCCATCCTCGCCACTGCTGTTGCGTCACGCCATTTCTATTACTCAAATATTTATGGAAGTGAATGCCTCAATGCTGAAGTTGCTGATGTCGATGACTTAGATGATGAAGATGTGATAATGACGATGGTAATGATGATTATATGTGGCTTAGGGTAGGTCGTCAGAAAAAAATTGACTGTGAATAGTGATAAAAAGTTGCTATGGCATGGATCTAGTATGAAATGAAAATTTTTTTCAAAATCAAGACTCATCTTCCTTTGCCGCCAGGTGGAGCAAAATTGACATTTTTAGCTTATATTGTGCTTTTTATACAATGTAAATAATAATTAGTAAAACAATTTGTTTTAATTTAAATTTATAATTAATGATTAGAGTAATCATTATTTTTATTATTAGTCATTTTATGAATTATAAAAATACTCCAAATTACTAGAGACACTTCTTACTTTAGAGATTAAAATGAAGAAAATTAATAATTGCAAGGACATAAATTTTCTCGTTCACGGCAATATTAATTTTTTAATTCGTTCTAAATAATAAACACCGTTATCGAGATGCTCTACTAATAATTAATAATAAACTTGGAAATAGTTATAAACAACTGCAATTACTAAAATTAGGAATAACTGGGCTCCCAATTCTGGTAGTTGTGACGCTTGTTCAAATTGGTCGATGCTCTTCCTCATCAAATGAAATAGAACGGTTTTTTTATATAAAGTTTAGTGATTGATTTAAAACGTGTGTTAAAAGAAATTTAAAAACAAAGAGTTTGTGAAAAGTTCAAAGGCGTCTCACGCAGAATCTTTTAGAAATATGCTCCAGTTTCCTACAGTGGCTAGAGAATGCGATAGGTATGGCGTATCTGATGTTCAGGAGCTGCTATAGCTACAGCTGCCCTCACAGACTATGGAGTTATAAAAAAGAAAGGACAGCTATTATTGACCGCTCAAAGCTGAGACGACAAAAGCAACAGCTTCGAGCCAAATTACTGTATGAAGCAAAGATCAATTTTTTTCGATGGAAGAAAAGACAAAACTATTTGTACGTCATTAACTTGTAGCAAGAGCTTTTTCGTTGAAAAACATATTACGTTACTTTAGGATACAAATTAAGGAGCCTATTGCTCCACAAAAGCTTTTTGTGGAGCAATAGGGAAAGCACTTGAAAAATGTCATGAGTTAACTGTTGTAAAATTTGAAAAACGACAGAATAATTTGCCGACACTTCTACAAGATATCACAAATATCAGCAGTATCCTTTCAACATAGTTAAAACAATAGAAATTGGAAAAGTATAAGAAGAACTGACTAAAAAAAACCTGGTCCTTTAATTCATTCACGTTGGCATACAGCAGCCAATTTGTATGTTTCAACCACGTCACTTTATAAAGAACTCACATTGCTTACGGACTAATACATTCTAATAGTTTATGCTCCACTTTACAAAAATACAACCTCAGTGTTATATGGATGCTAGGCACCTGTGGCGCTTGATTCAATTTACGCGTTTTTTTCCTAAAAATGAACTCCAGATAATAAATAAATGTGTTCAAAGAAATGCTCTTTTGTGTCACCCAGAAAATATTCTAACAGCAATGCTGCTGGATGACAGAGATAAGAGAACTTGCAGCTGGACGAATTAAATGTGCAAGAAAAGCCACAGCACCTGGTGAAGGTAAAATCAGAAAATTTCAATGTCCTTCTCTTAACTTTGAGGCTGCCGAATACTTTTATCTTCTATTGTCTTCTAAATTGGCAAGACGTTCCAAGAACCTCGCCACCTATGCTACGAGATATAAGTGATGACAAAATTGAAGCAGCAATTAAAGTATCTTGAAAGTGGACACTAGAAATATATCCTTGCTATAATCAAAGCGTGGAACGACATGTAAAGTTGGTAACCGAAGCATCATCGCCAGTCTGTGGTGCTCTGAGACGTGATGGATATATAAGAGCAAAATTAGAATCAAGAAAAGAAATTCCACATTTTGGTTTAAAGAAGGACTGGAAAAGAGGAGAGATTAACTGAAACTGATAATATTATAATAGTAAATATATATTATATTATAATAAAAGTCAATGTTCTTCTCTTATATGCAAAAAAACAGTGTCTTTTAATTATCGAATATACTGAAAAGTATGTTGTGTAACTGTATCACTCCAATTATTGAAATTTAAAAAAAAAATAATAATTTGTGTTTTTTTTACAAAAAAAATTGTATTTTTATAAAAAAAAATTTTTACGAAAAAAATAATTTTTTTTACAAAAAAATAATTTTTTTTTACAAAAAAAATTAATTTAGAAACAATTTAACAAAATAATAAAATGTAAATCTTGGTTTTAATATTAATCAAACAATTGGCATTGAATAGAAATACTGTTATATATTATATGAGCTTATTTCAATGGCAAATTTAAGTCATTTTTCAAGGCCCTGGCGGCAAAGTTAAACAAAATTTTTTTTTGTAAATTTTGTTCCAAATGTGATCCATATATGCTAGAGCAACTTTTTATTGCTATTCATAGTCGATAGTTTAAAAAAAGTTTTGGGACGACCTACCCTAATGTGGCTGGTAACGATTATGACATATACTGTCAAGAATATCTCCACTCACCATTTCACTCATTTCAATTCTTTTCACTTCATTCATTTCAATTCTCCATTAAACAAACTTTTGGCAATCTTTTATTCAAATTTACTATCAAATTATTATTATTAAATTCTCACCAGAAACAGAGCCATCTTTATAGACCTTCCATTGAAGCTCTTCAGGAATTCATACAAACATACCTAGCTATATCGAAAAAATTGTGAGGAACGATATTTAATGTGGAAAGTTCATCCAGAAAACTGCAAAAATTTTACATGTTGAGATAACAATCACAACAACAATAACAACAACAACAACAACAACAACAGCGGTAGTAACGACAGCAACAATACAAACAGCGTCTAATAGAGTTACCGAGTGCGACACACAACATCAGCAATAACAACAAAGCTACGCTCTAGAACAACGGCTCGAGATAAATAAGAAGTACCACTTGTTAACATTTTCATTTGTCGTAAAGAAACATCCTAACAAACGCACAACAAACAAGTTATACACACAAATAAAAGCAGAAAAACATGACCGCTGTGATAGAGATTCATTTTTATCGAAATTAACAGTAATTTTTAACCTCTAATCTAATTTTGCTCTTAATCCGAAGACTCCACAGACATCGAGTTGTAAGGGTTTTATCACTTATAAATAAAAATCTTTTGTGTCTAATTTAAGATTTGACGTAACTTAATTAAAAAACAGAAACCACTGCGATTACTAAAACGTTTTACCATCAGCGCATCTGACAGCAGCATCTAAAATTACACCTCCCCATCTCAAAACAGCCAAAAAAAGATCTAGTCATAAAATTTGAAATCATTTTTTCTAAACTGTCGATAGCTATCTACTGTTTACAACAACAAAACAACAACAGAGCAACAACAACAACAACCCCTACAACAACAAAACAGTAACAGAGCAACAACAACAACAACCCCAACAACAACAAAACAGCAACAGAGCAACAACAACAACAAAACAACAACAACGATATCAACAGTACCACTTCAATTTACACTTCGTCCTTTCGTATCTTGCAATTTTCAAGGAAACCATTCATTTATTTTTAAAACTCTAAATCACTCAATTCATCCATTTTTTAACACATTCTTGATTTACAACTGCGTCTCTCTTCTGTTTCTTTTCTTTATTCACTCTCTTGCACTCTCTTGCACACTCTTGCACTTTTTTACACTGTTTCTTTCTTTATCTTCTTTTGTACTCTTTCTTCTCATTTCTTTCACTCTCACTCCACCCGTATCTCTTTTCTTCCTCCTCACTGCTTCTGTTTTAATTCTCATTTTTTAATTCTTTATCATACTATTTTTTCTACAGTTTAACTTTTAATTTCGTTTTTATCATTTTTATTTGTTCACCTCTCTCACTACAATTGATTCTTGAGAGGAGGGGGAAGAGGAAAGCATGGGCAATACCCACGACACGCAGATAGCACGCATCGAGGCAGACTTCATTGGCTCTAGGTGGAAAACTGTTGATGACTACAGATGGGGCTACTGCAAAGATAGAGGTAGGTGCTTGGCTCTATTGATTTTTTGTTTGTTTGCATCATTTTGTTTAAAATTGTGAGTGTTTAAAATTTTCAGAAAATGTAATATCTAGAGATAACAGTCCAGAGCATCTGAATATTTTTATTATCCTAAACAAGTCTTTCTTAATACATTATATATTCTCAAAGAACAAACTTTTGAATCTTTCTACAGCGAATTTTTATAATTTTATGGCACTTGAAAGCACCTATGATTAAAAAAATTACCTCCGGTTATACACGTAAGATGCACTGCTTGACTTCAACTTGAAAGTAGCATGCACTTCTTTCTCTTCTTAATTAATTCCTCCCGGCACTATACAGATAAAAATTTTTTAACTCTGCCATCTTCAAAAAAATTTTGTCTTGACTAGTTTTATCAGTTCATTTTTTATAAGAGGTACTAGGAAAATAATTATTAAAAAATCTGCAAATCCCGAAAATAATAAATAAGATATAATTGGAAATATCATGACCTCACGTTTTGACCCGGTAGATATAGTCACTGCTTGCATCCAACTAACCAATCAACCAACCAGCTAACCAGCCAACCGTCCAACTGGCCAACTGACCAACTATTCAGCCAACAAACTAACCAACCAACTAACCAACCAACCGACCAGCCAACCAGCCAAAAATATTTCAACGCGTCACAGCTGACTTATTTACTGGAATTACATCATTGTGACAATTTGATTCCACCTCATTCATTCGTTCGTGTGAACGTAATGCGTTGGCAAAATTGTCAGAAAATCTTTCAGTATGAATATTTTTCAATTATTTTATTTTTTTTTTATTTATAAACAATTTTTAAATTCTACTAGCAATAATTTAGTCTTCGTACAATCAACAATTTATGACAAAATAGTGGTACTAACCATCATATATTTATTGAAAATATAATTCAAAAGCAAATTTATTCAAAAACCACATTTAATTTGGTTCTTTATTGTGTATTTTTTTAGGTATTTTATTGGTATTTAGTTGATTATATTTGAAAAAATATGTTATTTATACATGGTTATATATTGCAAAGATTTAGTGATTAAAAATTTGCTCGAAGTTGGCAGTAAATAATTTTTCACATTCGTATTTATTTGATTTTTCATATGAAGTTTTTCCATGTTTGATTTATAATTCACATAGATCCTTAAAATAGCCTTTGAACATTTATGCCTTGCTTAATTATTCAGCCAATGCTGACGCAAAGCAGAACTGCTCACAAAAGTATAATGTTCTTCAAATGCGAGTAAATGTTAAAGAAATTGTTAAAACAAAAAGCACCTATATATGTACGCAGATATCTACACGTGTACATCTACATGATTGTAAGATTTGCCAGAACTGCATTCAAATTAGGGCATTGAACAGCTGTCATAAGATCAGTAGAAGATAAATAAATATTAGATATCAATTGAAGATGCAAGAAAACGCTTGATAGTATTGTATCAGAGTCAAAATTTTTGTGATTATGTGTGTTTATTGATGAGTATGTGTAGGTGTTTATTGGCGTGTGTGTGTGTGTTTGTTGGTGTGTGTGTGTTTGTTGGTGTGTGTGTGTGTGTTTGTTTACCTGTATACAATACTAATTATGATTTAAAAATATAGTTTTCAAGATTTAAAAACAAATTTTAGAAGAAAAGTTTTTTTATTTTTTTTCAACATTTACGTTTTCCTCTAAGTACAAAAGAAAGCAGGAGTCATTTAAAAAGATTACGACTCTTGTCCAGCATTAAATCTTTTTTTCCTCCTTTAAGATAAAACATTACACAGTAAAATGATGAAAAAAAATCTTTATTTTTTATTCTGTTATCTGCCTTCCATGTCTGCATTTGGTGGATGTTTTTGTAGTAAGTGTTGTTGTTGTTGTTGTCGTCGTTGTGGTTGTCGTTATCTAACATGTAGTTTGTAATTGTTGTTGTTTATGATGACGATGTTGTTGTAGTTTTTTGAGTATTTTGTGTTGATATTGCTGTGGCATAAGATGTTGTTGTGCAAGTAGTATGCTAGGTCGTAATATATGTTATAGTAGTTGAAGTATTATTATTATTAGTAGTAGTAGTAGTATTGTTATTATTAGTAGTATTGCTGTTGTAGTGGGTGTTGTTGTTTTTATTGCACTGTTAAGAATTGTTATAATATTTGTGGCAGAAGTATTCAATATAGTATTTGATTTAGTAGTAGTATTCGATGGAGTAGTCAGCGTTAATGTCATGCCGTTAATCATGTTGTTGTTGTTATTGTTATTGCTCGTGTTATGTTGGTGTTTATGCTGTTGTAGGACTTATGCTAGCTTGTTGTTTATATATATTTTGTTTTTCGGAGTTGTTGGTGTTGAAATTTAAATCGTCTTGCATTGTAAGCAGGGGTGTCATTTTTTGGTCTATAAATGAGTGCTGAGGGAATCCAGGTCTTGTAGTTGTATCCTGCTGTCTGCTGATGTATGTTTTGGTTGTATGTCATTTGTATGTTGTTTGCATTCGTTCGTTTGTATATGTTTTTACGTTTTTGTATCTGTTTGAATGTTTTGAATATTTGTTTTTTGCTTTTTGAACTTAATTTGTGACTGTGTATATGTGATTGTATGTAGGGTGCGAGTTAAATTCGAGAACTTTTTTTTATTAAATTCAAGACATCAAATCTCTTTGTTCATTGTATTTTTTTGTTTGTTTGAAGGAGTTTAAAAGAATTCTGTGAATGTTTACAATGTTCATTGAACAAATTTTGTTGATTTGCCTTTGATTGAAGAATCAATAGAATAGATAACATTGTGAATTATTATTATTCTATGTATGTGAAAATATTCAATGTTGAAACAAATTAAAACACACGTATCTATATACAAATATGTAGGAATTGTTATATACGTACATGCATATGCATTAAAAACTTTGTCTGTATAAACAATCACGTTGATTCCACGTACAAAACAAGAAATAAAATAAATGAATGCACAGGAAAGCTCGCTCGCAAGCGCAAGTCGTATAATGTTTGCGTAGCGAGGCAATTAAATCTGCCTTTTCATTGATGCAATAATTACAAACATTCATTATGTGCCTTAGCGCGTGTGTGTTTGCGTTAAAAGTGGTTGTGTCTGCGTATGTTTTCTTAGGTCTCGTTTTGCTTGTGTGATGTTAACGCTGATATTTCTGAGTAATGTAATGAGAGAAAATATCCATTAGTTACAATTTTTGTGTGTGTCGGTACTGAAATGTGACTTGAAAAGTATCATTTCATGTTGCGTATACGCACGCACAACATGTGTGTGTGAGATTATATGCGTGTGCGTTTGTACGCTTAAACACACGTGTCTGTGTGTTTGTGTGTGTGAGCGTTTGTGAGTTTATATATTTTTTATTTGGTTCTTTTCGGTGACGATTTTCTTCTGCTTGTATTATTTATATTATTTACTTCACCATTTTTTTGCTAACACGAAATATGTCATTGTCAATGTCATTGCTTTTTTAATAAAAATAATTTATTCATTGCTGTCGCAATTTATTGTTAACAACATTTCGTCGACAATTTCTTATCAAAAGTGTTTCCATATTTTCAATGTAACAAGCATTTGCAGTTTCGTCATGTCATCGTTTTGTCATCATCTGTATTACAACAGAAATAATTATCATCGCCATCATCGCCACCACACCAACCACATCATCGCTATCGTCATGGTCGTCGTGGTCGTTACCGTCATGACGCTTCTTGTAGCTGCAAATAGCCACGCCCACTACAAGTAGGTAGTCATAGAAATAAAAAGTCGACTGCTACTGCTATTGCTATACTATTGCTGCTACTGCTGCTACTACTTCATTTTTTACTTCTACTATTAATATTACTACTATTACAACTTAATCTACTACTGCTACTACTATTGATACTACTACTACTGTTGCTTCTGCTACTGCTACTACTACTACTACTACTACTACTACTACTACTACTACTACTACTACTACTGCATGTTTTTATGTTGTTGTTTGTTGTTGTCCAGTGTAGTTAATTAAATTGATGCTTTTTTTACTTTTGGCTTTTTCTATAAAATAGTTGTCATTAATTTGGCTGCTATCTTGTTCAGAAGTCGAAGACGACGACGACGATGGTCATGATGATGATGGTAATGGTGATGATGGAGATGATGATGACGATGGTGCCAGCAAATTTTCCGATTCAGTCTTAGTTTTACTTTTCATCTACGCTGACGATGATGGAGATAAAGATGACGATTGTGGTGACATTAGTACTGATGTTGACGAAGCTACTCATTTTCGAAATGACTTTGAGGATGACGTAGATGATGACGTAGATGATGACGTAGATGATGACGTAGATGATGACGTAGACTAGGATGGTTCTAGTAAGAACGCAACGCTGACGAAACCAGGAGATGTTATTGATCGCGATGCCAAATGTTATAAATCTTCATAATTGCTTCTATCGACTTTTTTATTATGGAAGCTGTTATTTTTATTTTTAAAATTATTAATATTTTTATTATTGTTATTATAAATTTTATTTTGTTTTTTTTCTTCTTTTCTTATTTGATCTGTCAAATTGATAAAAAAAGAACCCAGCTGTACAATTTTTTGACGGCCATGATGATGATTATGTTATTGTTATTGTTGATGATGATGATGATGATAATGATGTCATTAGTGATTACGATAATGATGATGTTGGTGATGACGACGAAGACCATGATGATGACGACGATGATGTCACTGTGGAAGAAGATAAAAATGTTTACCGAAACGATAAAAACAGAGCAATTGAGTCTAGGATAAATAACATTAACCTCACAGAAATGACGTCATAATGATGTCAGCGAGAGGTTTGATATTTTTAGGACAACAACAAAAAAACGCGTAACTTAACCATCACCATCATCATCATCACCGCCATCATCACCACCATTATCATCATCATCATCATCACCACCATCATCATCATCCAAATCAACCATAGGACCAGACACATGGTGGGTGTACTACCCATCAGCTTCTGGTGGCAACCAATCTCCTATAGACATCCAGACCGAAGATGTACACACCAATCACGAACTAACAGCCCATCCCTTGCAAATCAACTACCAAACTTCCGGCGCAGGAAATAAAGATGGCGGAACTTCCGGTGGAACCGCCGGAAGTGGCAGTTCATCAAGTAAGTTAATCACGTGATTTTATGACTGTGTTATTTGAGATGGTGTGACGTTGTTGCCTTTAATTTTGTTGATGTTTTTTCTTTTTTTTGATGTTGATTTTATTGATTATTTATAATTTTCTGTTGTTTGTTTTCAACTTTTTGATGTGTTTCATAGCCCAACTTTGTCGTAAATTTCACTAATCAAATTTGTTATTGCTTATTTGTTGTTCTTTTTTTTGTTTGATGGTTTCTATGCTAAGATTTTTGCAAATAAAAAAAATCACTCCAATTAAAAAACTTGTATTTCAATCAATCAATCAATTATTCTATTAATAAATCAATTAATTAATCTTTTCTGAACTTGCCAACAAGACAGCAAGCCAACGTCAGGTCTAGGAGCCACACAGAGTCAGCAGCAGCAACAGCAACAGCAACAACAAAACAACAACAACGGCAACAGTCCACAAGAAAAAATGAAAGTCGTCAACACTGGCAACTCAACTTGCATACGGATTTCTGATTCACGTTCCTGTGAGTTCTACTGTTGTTGTAATTTATAATTATTTTCTTTTTTATAATTAATAAATAACTGCAATAACTGCAATGTTTTTAACTTAGATAGTCAAAAAATGTAGAGTGTATTTTGTTGTTTAGTGTAGAAATATTTCACGATGAAGTCCTCCCATTTAAAAATTATTCGCACAATTGTAATTTGTTGATTTAACTTAGAAAAAGAAAACATTACAAAGAAGGAAAACAATTAATAATTTATATTGACATCATTGATCATCTAAGCCGTCATCCACGTCATCATCGAATGCTCACGTCATCAATCACTGACGTCATCCATCACGTCCAAAAAACACGCGCACACACATCCACAACGCTGTGACACGAGCAACGCTGAAACGTCATTACGTCATAATGGCGTAATCAATCAGGCAAAATATTACTGATTGATTACGTCATTATGACGTAATCCATCAGGCAAAACATCGTTATAAATGTTGAGTAGTATTTCAAAACAAAGAAAGCATGAACAAAATGACACGAAGGTATAACGGGCGGGCCGTTGAAAGAGTACAACTACGTTCTCAGTAGGATAGAGCTGCACTGGGGTGAAAGCGACAACAACGGCTCGGAACATTTGGTCAACAGCAGGCCTTTCTCTGCTGAGGTCTTCAATATTTTCTGTTTTGTATTATTTCATTCAAACTTTATTCTATATTTTGTAATAGTTTTATTCAAACGTTTTAAATTCTGTATTGGATAAGCAGATGCTTTCATGTTATTTCAAATTTAAAATAAATTTTCAGCTTAAGATTATTAGAAAATCCCATAAATTTTATATTATATGTTGTTCATTCTTGCATTTTTCAACCCCCACACAGAAATTTAAATTTTTTTTTTTAAAAATATTGAAAAATAAAATTTCAAAACTAAAATAAAATGACTACCATAAGAACAGAAAAAGACGAACACGGTGATCCATAATGCCCTAGCAGGTACACATAGAGCCGAACATAATGTTTAATAAAAACGTGGAAGCACTGTTATTAACTTCATCACATCATTCACCGAATTTTATATTCAGCTGATGGACTCTTTATTCATGCTTCTGTGATGAAACTTTTTTTTTTATTTAAAAAACGTATATTACATTATATTTATATACGTAATTTTACGTATATAAATATAATTAGGAATAAATATATAAATATATAAATTTATAAATTATAAATTTTCGTCCGTATACAAGTCTACAAACATATCTTGCTACATTCGGCTATTTTATTCTACAAAATTTAAGTCGAAGCAACTTTTATTAATATTAGAAAAGGTTAGCCCATAGTTTGTTTGCGACGGTAATAAGAACATCATTTCAATTTTTTTATTGTTTTTTAAGGGAAGGGAATACCTAATTTTGCATTTTTCATAAGTATGCATACACACGGAGACGAGTTCTTATGTATGTTTGTTGAAATATGAAATTGTCTGCTTGTAATGTCAGGAATGCAAATAGGAAGACAAATTTGCGACAAACACACGTTTGCAAATTTTAAAGAAGAAAAAATTGTTTCTAAGCAGGTTTATACAGACAAAATAATTTTAAAATTATTTAAGTAATACGGCGATGAAAATATATGCAAAAAATAAATACAGAAGATACTATAAATACAAAAAATACAAACTAAATAAACAATAGATACAAACAACAACAAATCGATTGATACAAACGACAGTCTACAATATATATATAATATATATATATATATATATATATATATATATATATATATATATATTTTTACAATATTCTATAAATTCTACCGAATGTTTGGCGTTATTGATACAAACACTAACGCACCTAAAACAGGTCCAACTGATACATTGGAATGAAGACTTGTATGATTCATACGATGAGGCCTGCAAGCGAGATGATGGGATTGCCATCATTGCTGTCTTTGCGAAAGTATTGTCACATTTTTTGGCTGTATATGTTTGTGATTTCTGTGTTTATGTTTTATTCTATTTTTCAGATGTTTGTTTATGTTTATGTTCATATTTTTTTCTGTTTACAGCAAAGTTTTTTAATGGCTACGTATATGTCTACGTTCATGTTTTTTATGTTCATGTTACTATTGATAGCCAGTAAGTTTGATGGTTGTTTATATAGCTGTTACTTTTCTTGCTGTGTTAAATTTTTAGAGTAATAGTAGTATTAGTTTAGTAACATTTGCTGTATTAGTAGTAATCGTTGTTGTTGTACTAGCAGTAGTAGTAATTGTTGTTGTTGTAAACTTGCAAATACAATGGCTATTAATGTAGTTTTTACTTCATTCTCACTAGTTTTTGATTTAGCAGCAGCAGCAGTTGCGGTAGCAGCAGTTGGGGTAAAAGCAGTAGTAGTGGCGGTAGTAGTGGCAGTAATAGCTGTTGTAGTAGTTGTGTATGAGCGCACGCACGTATGATGTGTGTGTAATGATACGTTTCTTCAACATACTTATGTGACTCTAGGCATTATATTAGACCCATCCTCGAGTCAGATGACAACAACGGCGATGACGACAGTGATAATGATGTAATGACCATGACGATAATGACAGTGGCTATATATCATAGCCACTGTCATAATAGTGATGATTTCAGTGATAGTAATGATGATGAAAATGATAATTAAAACGATCGTTTCAATAATAACGCTGATGAAAGAAAAAAAGATAATGAAAGATTATGATGATGCCATGTGGGAAAAATGTATAAGGAATAAAAAATAATCAAAATGATATATGTTTAAAAATGTGCATCAGACGTGATGATGAGAATGATAATGGTGATCATGAGAATAGTGATTTCAATGTTATTCATATTAATACAATTTATGATTGTAAAGATGTTATTTTACCAACAACGGCTATAACAATATCTCAATGACTATCATTAATCATAAGTGCAATATGTTTGCAATGATATTATTAAATGTAACTGAATATATTCCCATAAAAATAATATAATAGTAATAATAATAATAATAATAATATTAATAATAATAATAATAATAAAATCATAGTATCATAAATGAAATCGCTAAATTGCATGCTAGCCAACGCCATCATGCAACAAACAACATCAACAACAACAAAATAACTAGCTATGTTATTACTATGAAAGTTCGCCACATCTAACAAATCTTAATTAAAAGTTTTTCATACTACTACTATTTCGACAACTATTACTACTATTACTACTACTTCTACTACTACTACTGCTACTACTACTACTATAACTGCTACTACTATTGTTACTACTACTACTGATGATGATGATACTACAACTACTGCTGCTGCTGATGCTACTACAACTACTATTGCTGTTTCTGCTACTACCGATGCGTTTTATTTAAGAAATTAAATATTTTGCTATTGCCAATAAGCCTAATTATTCTTATTACCATGCAATTAATTTGATTTTCTTCATTCTCAAACTTAATGATGATTTTTCTCCCACCCTTCAATCGTCATTAGCTTTTTCACCATCACCATCATAATCATAACCATCATCACAATCAATATCATTATTATCATCATCGTCGTCGTCGTCATCATCAACATTATCGTCATCATCGCCATCTTCATCACCATCGTTTCCATCATTTTTATCGTTTGATTTTCAAAAGTTATCAGACAATGAAGGCAACAAAACCTTACAAACTTGGTCGAAGATCATTGAAGATGTTGAATACAGAGGCAAGTGCATGCATGTCAAGGAAGAGTTTGATGTCAAGGCGCTTCTCCCTGGTTTGTACTTTTGTTTGTATGTTTGTTTGTTTGTAAGTTTGTATTTGTTTGTATGTCTGTATTTGTTTGTATTTGTGTGTATGTTTGTTTGTATTTTGTTTGTATTTGTTTGAATGTATATTTATATGTTTTTATTTATGTTTTGATATATTTTTTATTTGTATGTTTGCGTATGTTTTGATTTGCATGAAGGCGTGTGTTTTTTCTGCTGTTTTGTATCTATTCACTTATTGCTTTAGTATGTTCCAGTTTACCAGTTTTATTTATGTTTATGTATTGTATTTACGTACGATTGTATGTATGAAGTTTGTTAGTTTATTGAACCTTGCTTGTGTTTCTTTGTTGATTTGTTACTGGATAAACAAAATATGCCATTTCTTATCATTATTCCCTAGAGTAAAAAACAACATCGCCCATGTACTTGTACATAGGCATATTTCACCATACATTTGTATGTGGAGCACTATCCTTTATAAGTCCTTGATAAGTCCTTTATCGCCTGCTTATTGTTCATTTATTATACAAAATAAAAAATATTTATGAAACTATCAACGCGTTTATAATTCTACAATCTACACAATAGCTAACATGTTTGGCATATTTTTACATAATCAATATTCGTTACCATATACTTACATTTACCATAAATTATTTTTTAAACACATCAGAATATTACATTATTTTGTTCAGCTATACCAAACTACATTTATATATTTCAATGATTATTAATTAAATGTAGTCAAAATATTTATTAATTTCATTAGCAAAAAATTGAATTCATTAACATAAATTAATTATCAGACGACACTGCCAAATACTGGTGCTACAGGGGTTCATACACGACACCTCCATGTTACGAGACGGTCACGTGGGTTGTTATGTCTCAGACCATCAACATCACCAGCAATATCGTGAGTGTCTGTCTGGTTGTCTGTCTACTCGTTTTCTGTCTGTCTGTTTGTCTATCTCGTTTTCTGTCTGTTTGTCTATGAGTCTGTTTTTCAGCTGGCTGTTTTGCATGTATGACTGTAGGTTTACGTCGGCATAACCAGTTGAATGTTAAAAAAGTAGATTTCTCTCTCCTCATTCTTTTTCGTTTTTCTTTCTCTCTCTATTTCTCTATTTCTCTCTCTCTCTCTTTCTCTCTCTTTTTATCTCTGCACTTGTTTTAAAATCATTCTATGGGTAACTGGTTAAAAATCATTAACCAGTTAACTGCAAAGCAGAACCAGTGACTCCTTTAACCAGCATGCTATCACGCTGTACATTTCGGCATGCTTATGTGTCTGCCTGTACGTTTGTTTGTTTGTCTGAGTGTCTATCTACTCTACATGTTGTGTATGTTTTAGTGTGTCTGTTTGTTTGCGTTTGATTGCGTAGAATGTTTTAAAATTTGTTTCGACTTTAACTTAAATAGTTCATAATTTTTCAAAATGCAGATGACAAAATAATTAAATAATGTCATTCAGAGAAAAAGTTGAAATAAATCAGTTTCTATTTTTGTCGCTAGTGGCATGTTAGACTTTGCAATTTCCTTTAAAAATGAGTGAGTGCATTGCACAAGGGTGGGTGTCAATTAAAATGCAAGCTTTACTGTCAAATGACAGGCCCGCAGGTACAAATTCATGTTTGTTTCATGTTTTTTATTTGATTTGTTCAATTATACTTTAAGTTTAAAACTTTCTAGGAACTGTTTTTTTACAATAAAATGTATTAACGCAAAATTCTCAATGAAACTTAAAAAGACAAAAACCGCGTGTGTTATTTCTTACGTCGTTGGCATTAAACTTTATAACGGATTCTTTGACCTACACACACACATACACACATTACACACACAAACACACACACAAAGCAAACACACACACACAAGACGCATACACATCCTATTGTTTTTATTTCGCTCATATTTCGTTGTAATAGCCCTAGCATTTATCCACCAAATGAAAATCAATAGAAGTGCTTATATATATTATTTCATTGAGTGCTTTCTAGTGTAGAATCATCTAAGCTGCTGGCACGGTGACCAAGAAATTTATAAAGTGACAAGACAATTCAATTCTAAAAATCCTTAATAAGACCTAAAGCTGCTGAATAGATAAACATAGGTACTAACACAAGAAACGTGAATATCAAGCAAAACATCTATAAGAAAATTTAAAAAATTTAAAACCATTAACGTATTGCCAAATCTCAACCAAAACATTTTTTGGCATGGCCACCATGAATAGTAAACAAGCAAACAAAAAAATAGAACAACAACACCAACAAACAAACAACAACAACAAACAACAACAAAATAAAAAAACTCTAGCATAACAACAATAAAGTCTGACTCTGCCATTAGCATGCAGCTAATAAGACACATGGGCGCATGGTATTTCGCTTCGGAAATATTTCTTTCAATCACGCGATACCCCTATCAGTTCTACTTTTTAAATTTAAAAATGGTTTTCATCTTTTTATTGTTTTGTTTTGATTTGTTTTGCTGGTGGATTTGTTTTTTTCCCTCTAGGCTTAATTCGATGTTTTTATTCACTGTTTTGACTGTAATCATAATGCGAATAAGCATTTAACTATTTTCTGTGGAGATTATTTATTAAAACTTTTAGATTCATCGATTCGCACACACACACACACACACAAATTCACACACACACAAACTCACACATGTACACACGCACACACGCGCGCACACACGCGCACATTTATACATACAAACGAAAATTCGCAAAAACAACTTTTCTGTATTTTAATTTGTGGACGACTGAAGGCAAACAATTCATTCGACGTTGAAAAAAAAATTGAAATGTTTTTTCTTAAAAAATTTTCTCAGAATTTTCTTAAATTGAATTTCTGTTCTTAATGGCGAAAATATGTTTTTTTATTTTTCCATACTATTTGCATAAAGTTTGAGCAAAATTTGTTTTTATATGATGTACGTGTAATGTTTTTAGAGTTGATACAATTCACTAATACACAAAGTTTGTATATGTTTGTATGTCATGAAAGTTTTGTATTTTTTGTGTATGCACTGTATGTTCTGTAAGTATGTATTTGTTTGTATGTAGTACATGTAATGATTGTATATGTGTACAGTTTTTGTATCAATTGTCTGACTGTCTGTATGTGTAATCAGATTTGTATACGCCATTGCATGTCGATACCTAGATTACCAAGAAATTTTGATTAATATTTTGATAACGAGTACGTGGAAAATAATTTGACAAGAAAAATAGGAAAGGTAATAACAATGATGAAGAAGATGACAACAATGATGATGATGCTGCTTGGTTGTTGATGATGATAGTGGTAGTGATGGCAATGATGATGATGATGATGTGATGATGATGGTAGTGATGGTGATGATTAGGATAGCGATGGGGATGGAAGTCCTGATGACGATTAAATGTATATGACAGTATTTAACGTCCGAGTCGATATCTCACTTGTGATCCAAACTCTTTCTCTCTCTCTCTCTCTCTCTCTCTCTCTTTCTCTCTCTCTCTCTTTCTTTCTTTCTCTTCCATTCCAATCCTTTTTATTTATGCCTAATCAATTCTATCGATCTACATACATACACTCATATCATCGTCGTCATCGTCATCATAGTTATCTTCATCGTCATCATTTTATTATCACTATCGCTCTATCATTTTCATACTCTTCATCATCATCCTCAACATCATCATCGTCAACGCTCATCTTATCGTTATCCTATTCTTTAACTTCATCACCATTCACATTATCATTTTCAACGTAACCTCTTCATCATCGTTATCTTCCGAGTAGTGATCATCCTTTCATCATCATCCTTATTATCATTATCCATCTTCGCCATTGTTATCACCAACAACGATATCATCGTCATCTTCATCATCAGCAGCAGCATCATCCTCGTTGATGACGTCATCGTGGCTATCATCATCATCATCATCGTTGTCGTCGTGATAATGTGTTTCTTTGGCATTTTCGATAGCATGATAAAACACTGTTTTCTAATATCGCCTAAGCCAAACATTGTTATGAAAAAAAAAGAAATATTAACAATAGATATTATAAAAATAAAAACAACAAATAAATAATGCCATAGATAGAAAAATTAAAATGAAAACAACAAAACTAAAACCGTAAACATCTCCTTATAAAAAGCTAACGTCGACAACCTCAGAAATGACGAAGAAGAAGATGATGATAGTGATGGCGATGATGTGTTGACTATGATGATGATGATGATGTGGGGATGATAACGATGTTGATAACAATGTTAATGGTAATGATTACAGTGCCGCTAATGATGATGATAATGATGATGATGATGATGACGGTGTGACGATAATTTGAGGATGAATGCGTATATTAAATATCAAATAATAAGGATTCTTCTCCATTGTCACCATCCTCATAAACCAATGTAATTGTTGAGCCACTAACAGTACCTCTGTGAGGAGTTTTAATATTTTTTGTTGTATGAGTTTTGTGTTTGTTGGTGTTTTTGGGGGTTTTTGATGTTGTCATATTGAAAAATAATGTCATTGCAATGACGTTGTGTCATCAAAAGAACGTCAATTTTAATTTTTATTTAATGTTACGAGGTGGTTAGGATGATGATGATGATGGTTTTATTCGTATTATTGAAGGATTGTTATGTTGGTTTTAATAAGATTTTCTAGTGTTGCCAATATTTGAGAAGTTTTGTAATGGACATTGAATATTTTTTCATTAATAACTTTAATGTTTGCTGATATCTTTATTAATATTGATGATCGTAATTATTTTTTATTGTTGTTTCTGGAGATTTCATTGATGTAATTGTTGATGTTTTTCATCTTGTCTTTAAATTTTTTCCAAAAAGTTTCAGTTGTTTTTATAAAATATTTTTATTGGTATATCTGTCGTCTGATTAGGTGTTTAATTTCTCGCAGTTGTTGTTGTGTGTTGTTGCTGTTGCTGTTGTTGTTGGTGTTTGTTGTTGTTGTTTGTGTCGTTGTTATTGTGTTTAATTGATGTCATCGTTGATGTGTTCTTGCAACAACAAGTTTATACAGTGGTTTATGTCTTCCATTCGGTTGCGTCTACTTAATTGTATTCTTATAAGCAGCAGCCTGCCTACTTGTTCGCTTATTTCCCTTCTTTATGGCTCTACCAGTACCGATAAAATACAGAAAAAAATATTTTGTACATGCAAACATACAACTAGATATGTACACGTACACGCGAAAATTTAATTCCACGTACATACTAACGAAGCAGTACAAACACTCCTGAACAAACATCTCCACAAACACACGTGCTAAACATTCCCGCTCACAAATACATCACACGTTCCACTAAATTTTACTAAGAAAAATCAAAAACAACACGTCAAAACAAGTGAATAAGTTTTGTTTGAATAAACACACAAACAATATCACACACACACACGCACGCACGTACCTACACACGCACACACATACACATGTACATTCAAACGTACATGGATGTAAACTTGTGGATATTAAATTTTAAAATAGATAATAAAGCCTGCGGTTGTGTGTTATGAGTGGCTGGGTGAGAAAGGAGATGCCTCGTTGATATGTAGCCTTTATTGTTCTGCACCAGGCTGTTGAGAAACAAGTGAGAAACAAGTGTTTGCATGTGTTTATGTGGCTTGTTTGCATGTGTTTATGTGGCTTGTTTGAATGTGTTTATTGGTATTTGTTGACTTTCCTTGCGTGCGTGAGTATTTTATGTAGAATATGATTAACTTTTTTTTTATCTCATCCATTCTCTTGTGTAGTTGAATATTTTTATGCATTTGTACTTTCGGAAATGGTTTCAGTTTGTTAGTAACTTGGGTGCATGTTTGTTTTTTTTTTCTACTGGTTTCGTGTACTTGCAAGTACCCTTATTTGTGTATGTGTGTATACGTGTGTGTGCGTGTGCGTGCGTGTGTGTGTGTGTGTGTGCATGTGTGTAAAGGTGTGTGAAAGTCGGGGATTTTTTATGGTTAATCCTGTCTCTCAGTGCAAGCGTTAAAAAAGAAAAAGTGGAAGCATCATTTAAAATTTATAAAGACCCACATGTAAATCCACGCATACATTCACGCATAATTACATATACATCCACACATACATGCATACGCACCCATATTATTCACACAAACATACACATACATTCATACATACACGATCCAGAAATATTTTAGTTGTGTTAATCATAAGTTATAGCACACGTATGTACTATTGAAAGTATGAATAGTTATGTGTATTTTTTCGTAACTTAATATGTGCATCTATTTTTACCGTGTTGTGAGAATAAGGTGAGATTTATATGCATGGAAGTGTGTGTGTGTGTGTGTGTGTGTGTGTGTGTGTTGTGTAAGTGTGGCGTGTAAGTGAGAAATGTCTTTGTTTATATAATCATACATGAGTGTGCTTGCGTTTGCATGAATTTTAAAGATTGTAACTTGTGAACTAACATTTCACTGAAATATCATTTTAAAAAGCCTTGTAGAATTTGTATTAAATTATATACAAATATAATCTCAAAAGCCCTGACAAGTATATGTGTATATATTTATGCGTTTATATTTATACAAAAGAATACAAACACCTAAAGTTATGAATATTAGTTGATATAGGCGAAACAGCAACAGAGGCATAGACCAGGCAACAAGGAGGCATAGACCAGACAACAACAGAGGCATAGACCAGACAACAACAGAGGCATAGACCAGACAACAACAAAGGCATAGACCAGACAACAACAGAGGCATAGACCAGACAACAACAGAGGCATAGACCAGACAACAACAGAGGCATAGACCAGACAACAACAGAGGCATAGACCAGACAACAACAGAGGCATAGACCAGACAACAACAAAGGCATAGACCAGACAACAACAGAGGCATAGACCAGACAACAACAGAGGCATAGACCAGACAACAACAGAGGCATAGACCAGACAACAACAGAGGCATAGACCAGACAACAACAGAACCAAACGCAACCAGGAATAAGAACTCTGCTGACAAACAGTCAGATATCAATGTCTGACAATTATAACACTGCAGTGCACAAACTATCTAGCTAGCTAATCAAAGTTTTATATCTTTGCATTTCCTCGATATTTCAGTGATGCTCCGTTGATCAGTCGGTTAGATTCAAGCGCCTATTTCGAGGATGACTTTTGTTTATTTGCAGTTCTTTTCTGGCAGTGGCTGTATGTGTGGTGTGTGTGGTATGTAGTGTGTGTGTGTGTGTATGTAGTGTGTGTGTGTGTGTAGTGTGTGTGTGTGTGTATAGTGTGTGTGTTTTAATTAGATTGTTTTGTGTACGCTATGGATGAGTTGGGTCGTGTATCTTTATTTATTCTCTAGTTGTTACTTGTAATTGTTGTTTCAGCATAAATTTTTCTTATCTGATTATCTGATTATGTAGAAATTCCACATCGTCAATGCCTTTAAACATGCACATTGGGGGATAATATTTTGTTGCCTGAAGAACGCTTCATGAATAGTACAGAATTTTAAAAATTTGAGTGTAGATGAGATATGCGAATGAACTTTTCAGCCGAAAATAGAAACTTGTGCCTACATAACAAAGAAGCAAACAAAAATCTTTTTTTTTTTAATTTTTAACATTGTTTTTTTAAAAGTTCATTATAAATGGTTTGCCTTGTTACTGCAGTTATTCAAAGGCGAGTTATATTAAGTGCTATTCGTCCCAAAATGTTGATTAATACACACACACACATGCACACAAACATAAACATGTGCACACATACAGATACCACAAACAAACATACAAATACCGCAAACAGACAAACGAATTTCATTTTTTTTAACTATTCCCCGAATCCAGTTGAAACAATTCCGAGGCTTGCGATCGTACTACGACACGGACGTCAGACCGGACGACGAATACGACGGCCTCATACAGAAAAACTGCAGACCCGTGCAACCCTTGGGCACCCGGAAAATATCCGCCCCGGAAATAGAAATAATCCGGAGAAGACCGAAAAGTTACGAGGGAATGTTGCAGGAGCAGACGACCGTAAGAGTTTCAATCTTCCCGGAATTGTTTGATCCCCAGAGAAGAGAGGAACTTTTTAAATGGTTGCAGTAGATTGTGTGTTCACGTGCATGCGTGTGTTAGTGTGTGTTGTGTGTGTGTGTGAGGTTATATTTTTGATAAGTTGTTGTAAACGTGATGTTATATTTTTGATAAGTTCGAAATATAATTAGTTATATTTAAATGAAGGTGTTTATTGAATTGGTTTAATTGTGTTGGTGATGTTTTAATAATTTTTTTGTTCTATAACTTCGAATGTAATAGCGTGATAATAATTTTTTGCAATTAAGATATTAACATTCACCATAAATGTTAAAGGATTTAATCAATACATGTGTTGTTAAAAAACTTTTAAAATTTATAATATTTACTCTTTGCTGATAGATGATACAAAAACGAAAATTTTTTTCTCTAAATTTTCATTGCATTCTAACTAATCACTGATTGTTTCTATTGTCATTTCATAACGCATGCATGACCAACAATATTTTTATCTTATAAAAACATTGAATAACATTAGTGATAAATAATAATTTAATTTTATTAATTTATTCTACTTTTAAATGTATTTTTGTAACCAATAAGTCATTTATTCTTAATTCGATTGAATAAATAATATTTAGTTTGGTGACTCAAACATTTAAAACATCGAAACTTCATGTTTTTGATTATCGCTTAAAGGAAGCATAATAAATTTACGTTCGAATAAACGCCTTTAAGTTTGTTGATAAAAGCTTTTTAAATATATTTTTGTAACCAGTAAGTCATTTATTTTTACTAAAAACACCATTTATTTTGTTAATTTTGAATTTATTACAAGACAAAGTTAACATTTACTCATTTATAATAATTGCTTCTATGATGTTGTTTAATTTTTGGCACAATTTTCAATTTTTAATCTACTTTTTTATATTTATTTTTTGAGGCTCAATTATTACGTGCTTGTGATTATTTCATCGTTTCATCATCTGTTTGTTTCGTAGTTGCTTCAATGATTTCAATATATATATTTATTTTAATTCAACTATCGTTTAAATACGTACTAATTAATCAATGGACATAATTCAATTGTTTATCCAAAGTTTCACAAAAAGTGTTTAGCATTAATAATCTTATTTCATAAATTGACGGCGCTTTTCTACATGTGACACACACTCACTCACACACACACACACAAACACACACATACACGCACACACATACACGCACACCACACACGCACTTGCTTATCAGAACATACGAACTCACACGCAGTAACTTATCTCAATGCCCATGAATGCATCCCAACATACATTCTACAACATTCCACTATTATTTAACTATAATAATTTGCGGTCATCCAATGGCAACAAATAAGTTTTTAATCTTTTTTAAATCTTTAAAAGACTTGCGATCAAACACAATTGATAAAAGAATTAAAAACTCGAATAAGAACGGCAAATAGAAAATTATGTGTACTGTACATACGTGAAACATAGTTAATAACGAACGACAACAGAAGAGTTTATTAGAAAGATGCTTGCAAAGGGGTATTGAAATCTTCGCCCTCCTTTCTCCTCTTCCTAGCGCAGATAACAATCGTCAACAAAATCACCAATATGCCATTAGCAGCTAACCACAGTATGGCAGCCACCATCAGCCACAGGGACCAGCCGAAGGGGTTGTTTATCGTCGGGCCCCTGAACTTCACTCCGTAAATAATCACACCTATCATTGTCACTATGCCTGTTTCAAAATCACATTTGTTTTACGTTAATAAACTGTTAGAAGTGTTGTGAACATCCGGACTTGTTTGTGAATCAGATGAATATAGTATTATGAAAAATTATTATGAAAAATAAATTATGATGTATTTAATCAAATGAAAATATTTCTAACTCGAAACAAGCTGTAGACCTCCAGTCACAAAACCCATAAGATGTGAAAAGTTGAAACCCGACAGGAAGAGAAAATACGCTCCCAAGGCCAAGCATAGAAGTACCATGCCAACCGATATTATAGACATGCACACAGCCCTGTAGTTTTGGCTGGCATACTGAATTTCTGTCCATTGATTATGAAAATTATTTTAAAAATGTATAAAAATGTTGCAAGCCTAAGAATTCTGTTTTGTTACAAAAATTAACAATATTTGATCTGGTCTACTTACGTTATAGTTTATAACTGAACTTGGGAACAAAAAAAAATTAAACAGAAATTTGAATTTTGAAATTATTAAAATTTAGAATATTTAGTTAATTAACTGCACTACTATGAACATTTTTAACAAACATAATTGATTTATTTTGATTCTAAACGTATATTACAATACATACAATACAATACATTAAATTATATTTTACAGTTTGAACATCATCCATCTACTTTATATTTTAGTTTGATTCGAAACATTATGTCCTGTTTAAGTGAGATTTATTTTAGGAAAACACATCACACACACACACATCAAAGGCAAAAACATACACAATACACCAGAAACACACACACACAATTCAGTGTTAAAAATTTAATTAGTCAAAAATAAGGCCTATATTAAAAAATTTTGTTGTGTTTACAAGATCACATCAACACATGATGACATCAACATAGAATCCTAACTAACCTTTATATGGCAGATAGCGGACAATAATGTAATCAACTTTGAGGTCATAGAGACAATGGGACTGGACGCACATCCAGAAAAGCCCCATTCTGATGGGGGTGCTCTGGTTGTCGGGAGGGTAGGGAAAGGGCTCGACAGGGACTACGTACCAATCGTTACCCACGTACGAAACCATGTAAATAACGTAACCGAAGAAAAAACTGAGCAGGAGCAGCCAAGCCAGCGACCGCATGTTGCGCTGTGGCTTCACCATCTCCACTCGGTAGAAATTAACTAAAGTATTGAACTATTGAAAAAAATTATTGGTTTATTTAAAATTGTTTGAATAAAATTTAATATCATAAATGGTTGTTCGTTGTTTATTTAGTAGTCGCTCAGTTCGAAACAAGGTTTCAGTAAGTTAGCGAATCAATACAGGTGTGTTTGTTTTGGTTTAGCAGGTGAGAATGGTAATGTGTAAAACAGCAATCTGCGAAACTTTAATTTCAAGTGTGTCGATAGAAACTATTTAGAAAACTTTGAAATTTTATTACAAAACATCCAAATGAAATTTTTTAAAATCAAACATTTAGTAACATGAATTGTTAACAGTGAATTAACACATGAAATGGTTTTATCTTTATCTTATCGGAGTAATTTTAGCTGATTTGGATTGGAATGTCTGCTTTCTGGTGCCATTTAAAATACTACATTCTGTTATCTTAAATTTTTATTTCTGCTGTTTAAGAAATGTTTAAAAGTTTTTAAGACTCAAATAGACAGAAATTATCTGATTTATTCTACATAACTTTATTTTTATTTTCTTTAATACATAGAAGAAAAAAATTATTTTAATTTATAAATACATTTGTAAGTAAAGCACTTTCCTATTATTGTGGTAAATGGTTATAATGTTGATGATGATTGGGGCTGAAATAATTATATGGCTAATGATCTTTTGTGTGAAAAGTCGTAGCGATACATCTTGTTACGAAATACTGCTGGTAATTGATAAACATTAATAGTAACATTTATGGTAGAAATCATCGGTGCAGGCATTTAATGAAATTATGGACAAATTAATTTTTGACAAAATATACTGAAATGAATATGTAATTAGATGGAAGTGGATATGGAAAAAGTCATTTTGATTGCGTAAAGAACATAAAAGTGGTTGTAGTAGTTGTTAATTGTGTTCAGGAAGATTTCAACAGTAAAAAATACTTCAATTTAATATATGTGAGGTATATCAACAATGAACAGCATACATTTGTTAGTTTTGTGTCAGTCCTACCTTTTTAAAATTCACATTAGGAGCAAAATTAAACATAACTTGCAATACTACGTATACTACCTACTATTTTAAAACTTCCATCATTGCCAACAACTCAGAATGATGATGTGTGAGTATGGTTGCAACAATTAAGAAAATGATAATAATGAAAATATGATATAAGAAACCCCAAAATGATGATAACGAGAATGAACAGGGATGATAACGAGACAAAGATGAACATATGAACAGAAGTGTGCGTGTATGTTTTTCATAACTCGACTAGAACTAAACATGATCTTAATATAGCTCACACCGTACTTTTTAGTAAATGTAGCTAAATTATTAGTATTAGTGTGTGTTTATTTTATAAAGAAATTTCCTAATGATCTTAACTCTGGGTTTTTCGCATACATACTATTTAATTTGAAATATTGTAAAAAGAAGATTTAATAGATAAATATTGGGAAAGTTTATGATAATGAAAATAATAAATAAAATGTATTCGCATGTGATGTAGAATGTTAAATTTATCCCATTTATTAAATTATACAGTATTTATTCCTACTGTAGAAATTTTATATTCAAATACATACATACAATCTACACAGGTACACTTTTACACATACATACATATAAAAATATACACATACATTACATACATGCGTATACAAATATACACATACATTACATACATGCGTATACAAATATACACGTACATACATACATATATGCGCATACATTAGTCAATGTTAAACGAAATAGAAAACGCTTAGGATTCATTCCGTAGCCTGTAATGGAATGAAATATTTTCGAATAGTTTATCTGCATTTATAAGTGTTTCTATATTTAATAAATTTATGATTTCACTTTAAAAATATATGTCTTTATTTCAGTTTGTGCCATATTTTCATCATTTTAAATGATTTGTAAGTTTTAATTAAATATTAAAATCAATTTACTACAAAATTCAAACATTTATTAATTGTATTATTGTTGTTATTTCAAAATATTCTTAAGAAAAAATGCTAAACCACAGCAAAGCTAAATAAATTTTTTATTCTTACAGGTATCTTGGTTTCTTAATGATAGTTGATTAGTTTAGATTAGTCATCACTTTTAAACCAGGTACGCAAATGTGTTTTTTTTCACATTTTTTTTCAAATAAAATCATTTTTTTTTATCAAATTTTATATAAATTATTTTTGACGTTCTAAAAAATTTGTTGATTAATAAATAAATAAATTATTTAATTAGGCAAATTTTTTGGTAAATAGGAATAAAATAAAATAAAACGAAAATTTTATTTTTTTTTATAATTCTGAAAAATTATTAAAATGAAAATATATTTAAAATTAAATGCAAGTATGAAACATTTTCACAATTTAAAATCTAAAAATTCAATATTTGCATTGTGGTTTATTGATTAATACTTGTTTCAAATGATTTTAGTTTAGTTTAGCTTTAGAATTAGAGTCTAGTTTAGTAACTTTTTTAGACTCTAACTACCAAACTTTAGAGAGTTTAGAGAGTTAGTCTTAGTGAGTTATTTATTAGATGTTGAACTTCTTAAACATTTGGACTGTTAGTTGTGTCAAAAATATTTCTGCTTATGATTTTTTTACTTGCACCTATTTTTTATTTCTTGTTAATTATATAAAAACATTATTATTATATAATATTAAAATGTAGATAGTTTGATATTATTAAAAACACATCTCTTATATTCAACTTATATTCTTATATTTGTTTAGTTTAGTTCTATAAAAAATTAAAAATGTTTCCTAATTAATATTAAATTATTAAACATGTTATTTTTCAGTAATAATGCACCCAAAGATGATTCACATGATGACAACCTCAGTTTATTATAAATAAACATTTTTTCTAAAATTTAAGCTCTACTCTTTAAGAAATTTTTATCAAAGAATTGTATTAATTATTATATTGTTAATTTTTTATTATCATTTGAATATTTAACATATAAAATAGTATACACAATGATGACAGATCTGCATGCTTGTTAATCATCTCAAACTATTAACACATATCATGCAATTATAAATGGTAAGGCACTCTGCATCTGACACACTCACACATGCACTTGGGCCTCTGTGCAGAATGGCTAAATTTATAGCCAGAATGATATAATTGTTTATGTTATTTGGTCCATTACACACACATGTGTTTTCTGAAAGATTAAAATACTTGAATTTAGTACAAGATATCACACACACGCACACCACACGCACACACACACATACACACACACACACACGCACACACTGTAGTGTTTCTTGCTTCTACATACAACTTTATCTCAGTTATAAATCGTTTTTTTAATTTGAAGTCAATTTTTTTGGCTGTTGTTAATGTGGAAGTGGATCTGCTTTCTACCATGCTCTAGGAATGAACGAACGAACGAACAAAAGAATGAATGAAAGAATGAATGAAAAAAAGAATGAATGAGTGAGTGAGTGAGTGAGTGAGTGAGCGAACGAACGAACGAACGAACGAACGAGCAAATGAACAAATAAATTAATGTAACACCTTAAATGTTTTCGACAATAATAATACTTTCAAAAATATTACCCAACATTTAATTTTTTTATAGATAATTTCATAATAGTATAACTTAAAATTTATTGAAAATTAATGTTAAATGTGCAAATAGCATGTTAAAAATTGTAATGAATCATAGTTTACATTGTGTTTGCACATCAGCAGTTTATGTACCTTCTCGCAAAAAATACCAACACTAATGAGTTATATACATAAACATGCATACACACATAGCACCATCATCTTTGCAAACATTCCAATGCATATAAACTTAACATTCATGCATTCTTGCATACACACATGCATGCATGCATTCATTCATTCATTCATTCATTCATACATACAAAACACAAATACACGCATGCTTAAATTTTAAAATCTTATTGATATTTCAGCTAGCATTTTTTGTATTGTTGATGTGTAAAAAAATTTAATTTAAAAAATATATATATATATGTGTTTGTATGCTTGCGTATGTGTATGTCTGTGTGTGTTTGTGTGTAAGTGTGTGCGTGCGAATATTGATCCCTTTCTGATATAGAGTTGCCGGCTCTGAATTTAACCTTAGCACTCTGTATCATGTTCGTTTGACTTTTATTCCATGAAGATTGACGAACATTCACGTACATGTTTGCCATGTATTTCTTTTGATTTCTTCCAACGTTTTGTTGTCGCTTTTTAATGTATTTGCTGAGGTTTGTGTAGGAATAATATTGTTGTATATGAGGCATGTGCGTGTTCATCCTACACATTTTCAAAGTTTTACTCATTTTAATAATACGTATTGTGTGTGTGAGTGTGTGTGTGTGGTGTGCGTGTGTGTGTGTGTTTGTGTGTGTGTGGTGTCCGTCGTGCGCGCGCGTGTGTGTGTGGTGTCCGTCGTGCGCGCGCGCGCGTGTGTGTGTGTGTGTGTGTGTGTTGAGGTTATAATATTTACGTTGATATTTACGTACTGCGTTGTATGATCTGATAAGCCGTAGTAAGGTTTTTATAAATAAGTACCTTTTTTTAAATACACACATTTATCTTTTTTATTTGCGTATTTATGATTATACACACAACTTACACAGACACACACACGCACACACACACACGCACGCACACACACTACTATGCAGAGATATGAACACAAAGAGGCACACTCCTCTTGCACTTTTGGCAGCCGATGTTTTTAATGATAAAATCTATTTGTTTTTATTTGTAGTTTAATTACGTTGTTTTTTGTCATAAATTTTTTTCAAGTTTTCTGCCTTCTATGTTTCCGCACTTGTTTTTATAAGTAATTAATTTTCATGTTTTGTAATTGTCTTTTAGGCTGTTTTTGAAAGGTAAATTAATAAATATTTTTTACTTATAACTGCAGAAAATTATACAATCGAATGTTTCGTTTAGAATATTTGCAATAATGTTTCATAGTAGCAGCAACAGTAGCGATATAAAATCAGTAGCAAAGACAATACTGTTGCAGTAGGAATATTTGTTGTAGTAATAGTAGTAGCAGCATTAGCTGTTGTTGTTGTTGTTGAGGTTATGTCTCACTAATTTAAATTTGCAAGTAAACATGTTAATCA